ACCCCCCAGCCAGGTAAGTCCTGTTTGGAGATAGCGCCCCCTGTGGGTGGTGGCCCCTCCTCTGCTGGGGCAGAGGTGATGTTGGTCACAGAGCACAAAACTTGGTAGCTGGAGGAGGATTTCCAGCACATTAGGAGACTGAGTGTGATAGAGAACGTAATACCTGAGAGTCCAGGAATTCTCAGGGTACCAAGATCACCTGTGGAATTCACATCCCTTGAGATTGCCTGAGAGTCCCTACCATGTCAACTTGTCTCTGAGGACCCACTTTGCAGTTCAAAAGGGCAAGAGCCCCGCTGTCCCCCCCACCCATCCCCCTCAGCCATCCCTAGCCTTCACCTCCCTCATCCCAGCCACCTACCCTGTGACATTGGAATCGTCAGGAATCTGTCTCCCAGCCAGATGCTACTCCCCTCAAAGACAAGAGCTACATCTCTCATATCACCCCTTTACTGGAAACCTGAAGGCATAAGGTAAATGGTTGTTGAATGAATGAGTGAATGAATGAATGAATGAATGAAATTTTCTCTCCATCTCATGGGAAAAGTTGATAATTTTTCCCTCTCAGATTAACATAAACTACCCATCTCCCAGCTCAATGAATTCTGGTCTGACAAAGATTGGTTAAGTAGTTCTCTGTGTAGACAGTGGTGTATGAGACAGGGCACCCATATATGAGTTGTGAAATTCATTTGCCCACTCTGGACCTCAGTGTCTTCTTCTGAAAATCAAAGAAGTGGGGCTAGAAGGCCTCCTAGCTCTGATGGCCTGTGGGTTATAAGTTCCTCCTTTGCACACAGCTAGATTCTCTGTGGTTTCCCCGTATCTCTCCTCATTCTTCTGCTTTTCTTTTTTTTTTTTTTTTAATTTTTGATGTTTATTTATTTTTGACAGAGTGAGAGAGACAGAGCATGAATGGGGGAGGGGCAGAGAAAGAGGGAGACACAGAATCCAAAGCAGGCTCCAGGCTCTGAGCTGTCAGCACAGAGCCCGACGCGGGGCTCGAACCCACAAAACGTGAGATCATGACCTGAGCCGAAGTTGGACACTTAACCGACTGAGCCACCCAGGCGCCCCTCATCCTTCTGCTTTTCTTTGCAAACTGGGGACCATGGGAAACAGATTGGACATGGCCCAACCCTTCTGACTATAGAGAGGCTGCAATTGACCCTGCTGTGTGTAGTCCAGCACAGGGGGATGGGGCTGCAGGGTGACACGTGGCAGCATTGCAGGAATTATGATGGTGCAGAAGTGCCTATGCATGCCGAAATCCTGCCCCTTCCCTTCTCAGTGACCCCAGTGCTGACTGTGCCCCTGGTTATGGGTAAGGATTCAGGGCAGGGGTAACATGGGAGGGGCAGATTCATGAAGTTGCATGGAAGAAAACAGACTAATGTTCTCTGTGCATACACAGTCTTAAGAAAATCATGAGCATAGTACTACATAGTACAAGCAGCATGCTTGGGTGATGAAACCATGAAGAAAAAAGCAAGGGAACAATCAACATTAAAGTGAGTCTAGGGACTCCTTTGTGAGGAGTGGGGTGTGCAATAGGGATGGGGATCGAAGGGATGGTCCAGGGTGCCTGCAATGCTCTGTTTCTATTTTGTGATGAATCAGTGAGTTGTTCTTGTTGGAGTCTATTCTTTGTATCTTATGTTCCCCCCACCCAAATGTGTCAAGAGAACCAACATAGGTAGAAGGAGGCACCAGAACCTCCCAGAACCTCCTCCCAGCCCCCAGCCACACAGTTAAACATAACCTTCTGTGAATTCAGGTGCACGTCTCTTCTCTCACCAAATCATCCCCACCTGGAGAGTGGATGACACCCAGCTGGCATTCCTCACTCCCTGTCTCCTGCACACCTGACTCCTGGGACCAGAGCCCTCATGGGCAAAGCTCCAGAGGTTGGCAGACCCCACCACCCTCTGGAGCAATGGAAAAAAGGGTGAGATACCAGCGGTGAAGAAATCGTCCTGGCACCCAGACAGCCGCAACAAAGGGGGAAGTTTCTACCCCTTTCAAAATTGGTCCCTTTTCCTCTGCCCTTCCCCCCATACCAACCCTGTGTACAGCCACAGCTTCAGTTTCCCATGTGTCCTTTGTGTCAGTCTCCCCTCAATGTCCTTGGAATCTTCGTCTCCCCTGCTTGAGTGTCCCCTGTGCCCAGTCTTCCTACGACACAACCTCCAACCTCCAACCTTCCTATGAACAGCACCTCTCTCTTCCTGTGTGTCCCCTGTCACAGGGAGCTCTGGGTACCGACACCTACTTTTTCCTTGCTTGGCAGTGACTCCAGGGGCAGTGCCTGGGGCTAGTGTGTGGTCTCATGAGCAGGGAGGGGAGGCCTACCATGTGGATTCCAAGGGAGGGAGGACAGTTGACCTCCTCACACCTCCACCCTTGGCCTCCCCCATCTCTCAGGTCCCTATGTCCCCACATGAGTTCCACAGACATGTACGGCCTGTGATTCAGGTGGTCTGGCCCAAAGGAAGGAACCCTTTTTCACTTTGCAAAAAAATGACCCCAGAAGGGTGGGGCATTGGCAGGAAGGCGGGAGATGGGGCTCGAGCCCTGCACAGGGTGTGAATTTGGGCGAGGCTCTCACCCTCTCTGGCCTCTAGGCCCAGGGTCCCCAGCAGTGGAGATGCAGTGGTGGATGGCTGATTCCCAAGGGCTGTCCCGGCCCTGACAGCGTCTGCGTGCGAGGTTCCTTCTCTGAGGAGGGCCACTGTTCTGACATCACTGTCACCTTCCTGTCGGGGCCTCCTCTCAGTCTTGTAGCTCTTAGCTTCTGAGAGACAAACCCGGA